GCCTTTTAAAAAAAGCACTTTATTAAGACAATTTGTGGGTCAGGCGCGGTGGCCTATGCCTGTAATCCCAGCACTCTGGAGGCTGAGGCAGGAGGATCCTTGTGAGTTCAAGGCCAGCCTGGGCTACATAAGTGAGCTCAAGGCCAGCCTGAACTGCATGAGAGACCCTGTCTCAAAAAGACAAAAAAAAAAATTTATGTACCATACAATTCACACATTTAAGTTGTAAAATTTGATGGTCTCTGGAATGTTGTTAATTAGAAAAAATTGTTAGGTTGGGGGTAGCTCCACAGAGTGCTTGCCTAGCATGTGTAAAGTCCTACCTTTGATCCCTAGCACTGCAAAAACAAAAAGCAACAAAATTTGTCACTTTGGCTATTTTTTATGTGTTTTAAATTTTGTTTGTTTTGTTTTTGGAGACAGAGTTTCACTATGTAGTTTAGGTTGGCCTTGAACACACTGCATAGCCCAGGCTGGCCTTGAACTACAGGCATCCTCCTGCCTCAGTGTCTAGGTTCCCAGCTGTAATTCTCAGCTGGGATTACAGGCACAGACATTTACCCCCTGCCTATGCTTGCTTTGTTAAAAATTTAGTTTCTGTAAAATGTATTTTTTAACACAGGGATTTGAACCTTGGGCCTTCACTCTGAGTTACATTCTCAGCCCTTTAAACATTGTTTTTGTGTAACTTTTTTTTTTTTTTTTTTAAACGTACTGGGAGTTGAACTCAGGACCTTGCCCTTGCCAGGCTGGCACTGTGCTGCTGAGCTATATCCCTGGCTTTAAACTTTTTTTTTTTTTTTTGTCTTTTTGAGACAGGGTCTCAATATCTGGCTATGCAGTTCTGGCTGGCCTTGAGCCCACTTTGTAGCCCAGGCTGGTCTCGAATTCGCAACATTCCTCTTGCCTTAGCCTCTCAAGTGCTGGGATTACAGGTGTGCGCCACCACACCCTACCTTAAACATTGTTTTTGATATAGGCTTTCACTAAGTTTCCCATGCTGGGGTCAAACTTGTGGTTTTCCTTCTTCAGCCTTCCAGAATCCTGGGACTTCAAGGGTGTGGCACCATTCCTTTCAGTATTCATTTATTTTGAGACTGGGTCTCATCATATTATTGCCCAGGCTGAACTCTGGACCTCAAGTGATCTTCATGACTCAGCTTCTTGAGTAGCTGTACTACAGGCACACAGCCCACATCGGATTGCTTTTTAAAAATTTTTATAGTGATAGAAGACACATAGCAAAATTTGTCTTAACCATTTTAGGTGTACAGTTCTGTGGCATTAATTGCATTCACATTTTTGGGAAATGGTTCTCCAGAAGTTTCGAAAGGTCTTGTATATATGAAACTTTATTCATTAAAGAACTCCCCTTTTAGTGGAGTGTGGTGGTGCATGCCTATAATCCCAGTACTCTGGAGGCTGAGGCAGGAACACCAACACAAGTTGATCAGCCTGGAATACATAGTGAGACCCTATCTCAAAAACAAAACAGAACTTCCCTTTTTCCTCTTCCTTTCAGCCCCTAAAGGGAGGGTAATGTACTAGGAATTGTACTAGGTATTGAACTCAGAGCCTTGCACATGGTACTCTTATCACTAAGCTACAGCCCCATCGGTGTGGTATTAGGGATTAAACCTGGGGCTTGCTGAACTACATTCCAAGTTCTTTTTTTTTTTTTTAAGTTTATTTTTGTGGTATTGGAGATTGAAACAAGACTTCCCACTGAGTTACATCCCCAGCACCCCTACTCTCTTTTGAGACAAAGTCTCACCAGGGTGCTACGTTGCCCAGGAAGAATTTGAACTTGGGTTCTTGTCTCACCCTTCCACTGTGCTGGGATTAGAGGTATACTTTTCATTGTTTTTTTTTTTTTTTTTTTCCTGAATGGT